TGCGCCCATCGCCCACGCGGAGTGCGTCGACAGCTTCGCGTGCTTCGCCAGGGACCGCTCCGTGGTGGAGGACGTGTTCGCGGGCGCCTTGTGGCCGCCGGGCTGCCGATGCACGAGGTGGAGATCAGCCAGGGCGGCGACGCGCTGGGCTGGCACTTCACCGAGCAGGGCTGCTGCTCGATGTCCGTGCGCAGCGGCTGGCGGTTCCGCCTGGCGCTCCTGCGCGTGGCCAGCCCGGGGAGGGCCAGCGGGTGAGAGGTCTCGGTGCTCCTCGGGCACTTCACGACGCGGGGCCTAATTCGGAGGGAGGTGCTTGCGGCCCCGCAGGTTTGCTTCGCCTTTGCCCAGCAGTATCCAAAAAGTCGCTCCTCGTTGTGGCCGTCTGTTATGCGTGAGCTTCGCTGGATGGCCGCCCTCGCATTCGTGGCTTCTCGGGGGCTTTGTGCGAGTTGGGACCCTAATGTCCACGCGTTTGACGCGTCGTCTTGGGGTTGTGGGGTGATGAGCAAAGTTATCGACGAGAACGACGTTCAGATGTTGGGGTCCTACGACGACCGATGGAGGTTTGTAAAACAAGACAAACATGCTCATTTTCACGATCCTCGGGTAGATCTATTTCTGGGTGATGGGGATGAGGGACTCGACCAGGTTCCACATGATCCTGAACGTGACTGGGGTGGTCGTTGGTGTAGAGTGGCCTCGTTCAGGTGGGCCTCTGGAGATCACCAAGTGCATCTGGAGTCTCGTTCAGCTACCTGGACCCCGAATCACCCGGCCAGGACCTCAGCTGCCCATGGGGGACGCCACCTGATCCTCGGAGATGCCACGACCGCAATCCTGCCTCGGACCAGGGGGCGCGGGGGCTCGCTTGGCCTCCGTCGCGCCCTTCGACGCTCGGCCGCGCTGGTGCTGGGCGCGAACCTGCACCCCGCGTGGCGCTGGGTGCCCTTCCGGAGAGGGGCGCCGCCGACGCGGCCTCGCGAGGCCGCCGCCACCTGCGCGCCTCCGCCTGGCGGGGGCCCGGGGCCGCTGCGGCTGGTGCGCAGCATGCCGGCGCGGGGCGCCCGGGCGCGTCGCGTGGGGGCCGCTTCCCGCTCGGGCAGCCGCCCGACCCTCCTGGCGGAGGGCATCCCCCGTGGGGACTGGCGACGGCGATCGAGGTGGCAGTGCGTGGACATTAGATTCGAATCCTCTGGCCCAAGATGCCCCCCCCCACCCCCCCGAAATTTATGTAGATGGCGTGGCGACGGGGGGGGCGTGAGTGGACAGAACTATTCGAACCCCGAAGCACCGCCTCTACTGAGATCAACACTGTTGTCGGGGGCGCGCGGGGTGATTTAGAAGCTCCCTCGAATGTGTACGGGTTCGAACTTATGGTCCATGTACGGGAGCGTGCCGACGCGCTGCAGTTCCACGACCGCCTTCCCCGGGAGCGGGCGGCGAAGGCCGCGGCCCAAGCGCGAGCCCCGCCCGATCCGCGAGGCTCGCGCAGCGGGGGGGCGCGCTGCCCATGCGCCCCCAGCGGCTCGCCCCGGGCCGGCTCGGGCAGGCCGCGCGCTGCCGGAGCGCCGCTCTCGACTACACGTAAGAGTGACCCTTCGCCGGAGTGGCCTTTGGTGCGCGCTCATTGGGGTCCCCCGATCGCCGCGCTCGCTGCGATAGTAGCGCCTTGCGCGCTTGTGTTTGGCCTCCTCGCGCCCCCCAAAAAGCCGCGCACCAAAGGTCACTCTTGCCCAGGGTCACTCGTACGTGCAGCCGACGCCCGGAGTCGGTGCGGCAGGAGTCGGAGTGCTAGGGCCGGTGCCAGAGGTTCGTGGCCTGGGCCCGAGAGCAGGGGCTGCTGCGACATCAGCGCATCGCGGACCTGGAGGTGGAGGTCCAGCGCGGTGTCGAAGATGGTGGCTGCGATCGCGTATCATCGTCCTGTGGCTGGTCCTGGGTGTGTCAACCTGGCTCGGGTGCAGGTGGCCCGCTGGGGCTCTGCGAAGCCGGGCCCGCCGCAAACGCGCCTTCCGCTGCCGTGGGCTGCTGCCTTCATGGTGGCGAAGCGCCTCGTGGAGGTGGCGGGCTGGCACATGGGCGCCGCCGTCGTCTTCGCCTTCATCCACTATTCGAGGCCGTGAGAGGTGCTGAGGATCAGTGCCGCCAGCTGGGGGCTGTCGCCGCTTAACCTTGAAGTGGAATGCGATCCTTCACCCGCAGGAGCTGGTGATCACCTCGAAGACAGGCGCCAGGGACGAGAGCATCGTCGTGGACAACGCCGAGGTCTTCCCGTTCGTCGAGGCGCTGGTGCGGCGGCTCCGCGGGAGCGGCGGCAAGGCGCTGGCGTTCCCGTTCAGTTACCGCGAGTGGGCGACGAGCTTCGAGAGCGCCGCCAAGGCCGTGGGCCTTCAGGGAGAGGCAATGCCGGTGCTGTACATGCCGAGGCACGGCGGGGCCTCGCACGACGCGCTCGTCGGGGCGCGAGACCTGCGCGGCGCCCGGGACCGCGGGCGGTGGCTCGCCGAGAGGTCGGTGGTGAGGTACAAGAAGGGCGGCAGGGTGAACCAGCTGCTGCACGGGCTGCCGCCGGCGGCGCGCCGCGCCGCCGAAGGTGCCGAGCGGTCGACTTCCGCGTGGCTCCTGCCGAGCTGATGCGACGCTGGAGGGCAGGCCTCCTGAGAGGCCGAGGCTTCGTTGTGAAGCTGTTCTACGGCACGGGCCGCCTCGGCGCAGCGTGGAGGCAACGGCCGAGGTTGAGGCAGATCCCGATCTTTGAGTTTCATCTGAGGTATGGTAGTGAACACGACCTGTCCAAGAGAAGTGTTCAGAAATGTTTGATATCCCGTCCTGAGGACGGCTCGTTGCGAGCCATGTGGATCGGTTCGCCTCGCAATAGTTTTCAGCGCGGCTCGTCGCGGGCCCAACGGGCCCGCGACCCTGAGAAACTCCGCGTTTCCTGTGGGGCTCCCTGGTATTTAGAAAGCCTTGGTATCTGAAAGCCCTGAGAACTGGCAGCGCCCTTGCCAGTTTTTTGTGGAGGACTCCTCCGACAGGCTTCGAAGCTCGGAGTCCCTGCCGTGGTCGAGAACCCCGGACATAACTGTGTGTGGCTACACCCTGCGTTGCGCCTCCCGCCTCTGCAGTCGTCGTCGACCTCCTCTGCTCCTGTCCTCGCTCGTGACTTTTACATTGATTTTTGTGGCGAAGGTTTGCCCTGGCGAAAACGCACCAGATTCCGAGCTGTGAATGTTGACCTCGGCCCCGCGACCAAACGGTGCTCTGGGCGTGGCGTGTGTGTGTGTGTTTCTCGGGCATTCCCCACATGTAATTCGAAGGCAAGAACCTTGCAGGAACCTGCTATACCAAACCTGCTGAGGCTTATCCTCGGAAGTTGTGCCGAAGGCCTGTCGGATGTTTCGAGCGAACGCTCCTCGACCAGCGTCGCCGTAAAGTACGCTCCTATATCTAGTAGTCTGGTTTTGGTCCTAGGGACTTCGTTTCGGGTTCCGGGGTCGTGCTCCTCGGGTTTGTTTGTTGTTGTTCGGCTGCAAAAATGGGCCAATGACTGAGTGTGCCGTCGGCTGGGTTGTGGATCCGTGTGTGTGTGTGCCGCGTGGATTTCAAACTCGTTTTTTATCCTCGGGGCGCCCCGAATGTTGTAGAGAACGCGAGCAATCTACGCAAAGATATCCGTGGCCCTCGGCAGCGATGCGGCGAAGAAGATGCAACGATCTTCATAAGCACATCATTGTAGCAGTCTGCGTGGGAAAGGACCATCCTGGCTTAAGTTCCCTGCGCTGCTTTCTTCCCTCCCCACTTAATCAGCAGGATCCGTGTGTGTGCCGCGCGGATTCCAAACTCGTTTCTTGGATCTTCGGGGTGCCCCGAATGTTGTAGAGAACGCGAGCACCCTACACGAGAATATCCGTGGCCTTCGGCAGCGATGCAGCGAAGAACACCCTCCTCCTCCTCCTCCTCCTCCCGCCCCCCTCGCTCTCCTTAATTGGTGTGGCTGGGATGCCCGCCGCTTGCCTCTGCCGTGTAGCGTGCTTGACGGCCGCTGTTGGCCGAACTCAGGTTTTGTCCTGGGCTTGCCCGTCCGTCCCCCTTGATCGCGCCACGTTTCGCGCTCCAGCCAGCGATGGGTAGGCTCCCACCCGCCTCTCGTCTGGTAGATACTCAGCTTTCGTCGGTTCGCTGGTGTGCGTTATTCGCCCAGTCATGCCACCATATTTTTGAGTTTGTGCAGCTAGCGCGGGTCAGATCTGCTGCACATTTTTGTTGTGCCGTCGCTGATGTCACTGTTACTCTTCTTCCCTCGCCCTGTCTCGCCTCCTTCCTCTGGCGGTGTACTGGCCTACCCTGCCGTGAACCGCTGCGCACTGTGTCCCGTGACAGCTTCAATGCTGGGTGGTTGCCGAATCGAGGGGCGAAAGTAGTTACATTTTCGATGCGTAGTGCCGCTCTTTGAAGGTTTCTCGGTGCGCCCCGGGGTGTACTCGTTGTTTGAGCTCCACTTCCGCGCTCATCCCCGTCATCCCCCTCCCACCGGCGTGAGTCTGGAGCGATCGTTTGCCGTATATAAACGACTGGCAACCGTCAGGGTTGCGCACGAGCACACACACACATCGCGTTTGTCCGGGGAAGTGGTGGCTGTTCGGAGTTTCAAATCCGACTGCGAAGGTGACGGCGGATTGTTCGTCTGGTCACCGCGTTGGATTCAGAGGCACCTGGAGGGCAAGGCGGATTTGCCCACCGGAAAAAAAAGAGGGGGTCTTGGGCTCTGGTGGTAACGTTTCGCGATGCTGTAAATCTTTCGCCGCATCGGATCTCGGGGTTCCTTGCCGTCGCCTGCCCGGGCTTCCTGTGTGGGGGGGAGGGGCCCTCGTCGGTAGGGCCGGACTCGCCTCGGAATCCTGACCATGATTCGCCCCGGGAGACGTCCGGGGAGTGGTGGGGACGGTCTCCTCCCCTTCCACCCGTGGCGTCGCGCGCCTCGTGGCCTCACATGGCAGCCCTTCCACCGCTTCCTTGCGCAGCAGGATATGCTAAGCTCTCGAGTGGTTTCGAACTGGCTGTCTGGAGTCTATCTCTTGTGCGAGGCGCGCTCTCCTTCTATGAGGCCCCCCCTTTTGTCGCACTGCAGAGGGACGCCCCCTCACCCGTCCCTGCGCCTGCGTGGAGGCTCCAGAACACCTGCTGCTTGTCTCCGTCGTGACCCCCATCGCCTTCTGTAGTGTTTACGTCACTGCTGTCCACAAATTCACATTATGAATGCTATCGTCCACTCTCCTGTGGCTCTTGCCCCCGCAGTTTTCGTCCCTGTCCGCGGACTGTTTTGCACACGCAGGATTTCAAACGTTTCTATGCTTCTGTGTATATTTCAGCCCGATTGTTTTTCATTGGTCCTTTCGAGTGGTGCTCCCGCTGCAGCGTTGGCATCATTTTGGGATCGGCGCGCTGCTCCCGTCAGTCAGAATGGCGCCCTCGCCCTAGCGCGGGCCACTTGTCTGGATCCGAGTCCGTGCTCATCGTTGTCTCCGCTCTGCCGTCTCCTCCTGGCCTCCCCTTCACAACATCCACCTCTTCCGCCCACTCTCGGCGAGACCCTGCACCTGAGCCTGCAGTCCCTGGACCTCCAGGAGAACTTCTTCGACCTCGGCGGGCACTCCATGCTGGCTTCCAGGAGCCAGCCTAGGCAGGCATGGTGGAGCCCTCGGTTCAGTAGGGGACAAGATCGAGTAGGACGAGGAGGTGGAAGGTATGATGATGATGATGATGGTGATAATGATGATGCTGATGATGATGATGATGATGATGATGATGATGCTGATGATGCTGCTGCTGCTGATGATGATGATGATGATGATGATGATGATGTTGCTGATGCTGCTGACGATGATGATGACGGTGATAATGACGAGGATGATGATGATGATGATGATGATGATGATGATGATGATGATGATGATGAAGAAAAGAAGGATGGAGGCTCGCGCTGAGGTTGCACGAAGGGTGAGGAGGGGGAGGCGGATGAGCGATGAGGTGGGGGTTCTAATATTTCCACCGCCGTCATGTCTTGCTACTGCTTAAACTATCAGTATTATTAGTACTACTACAACAGCAGCAACTACAACTACAGCTACAACTACACGTACAAGTACAACGACAGCAACACCTACTACTACTACTACTACTACTACTACTACTACTACTACTACTACTACTACTACTACTACTACTACTACTACTACTACGATTTTTTCATTATTACGGCTACTATTACTACTGCGGCGACGACGACGATTATTATCATTCGTACCACGACTACGACTGTTATTACTATTGCTACTACGACTGGCTGACTACTACTACTATTACTACTACTACCACTACTACTACTACTACTACTACTACTATTACTACTACTACTACTACTACTACTACTACTACTACTACTACTACTACTACTACTACTACTACTACTACTACTACTACTACTACGACTACTATTAGTAGTACTAGTACTACCGCAGCTAGTAGTAGTAGTAGTAGTAGTAGTAGTAGTAGTAGTACTAGTAGTAGTCGTAGTAGTAGTAGTAGTAGTAGTAGTAGTAGTAGTAGTAGTAGTAGTAGTAGTAGTCGTAGTAGTAGTCGTAGTGATTTGTCGTCGTCGTCGTAGTAGTAGTAGTAGTAGTAGTAACAGTAGTAGTAGTAGTAGTAGTAGTAGTAGTAGTAGTAGTAGTAGCAGTCGTCGTAGTAGCCGTAGTACTATTATCACTACTTCTTCTACTACGACTACTATCACTATTTCTACTACTACGACGAATAACTGTTACTACGACTACGGCTACTGCTTCATGCTTCTGCTTTACGGCTTACGACTCACGGCTCATGATTTATTACGCGCTATTTGTTTTTCTTAATTTTCGTACTGCTTGGTACTTGTTGGTGTCCTAACGTGGCGTCCTAATATGTCCCCAAGACGGATCAATATGGTCTAAGGGGGTCCCCCCGGCGACCCACGATGGCCCCAAGAGGCCCCCAACGCTTTCCAAATCGTGACGCGGTCGTTGAAGCCGACCGTGGTTGGCAGCAAGATGGTGCCAAGAAGTCCCCAGGAGGCCTCAAGAGTCCCCAAGAAGCCACCAGGAGGCCCTCGAGCGGCCTCCAAGAGGCTCCCAACGAGATCGCACGAGGCCTGCGGCAGGCCTCATGTCGACAACCAAATTAACCCGAGCGGCATTCAAGCACTCTCTTCGCGCGGTCGGGCGAGGTGGGACGTTTGGCGGCGCTGGGCAGGGCAGGGAGGGAAGCCAATCTCCCAGGGGTCCATGGCCTCTGCCCCCTTAGCCGCGAATCTTCGGCCGCCCTCAGCGGGGCATCTTCGCACGCGGACGCCCCGCCGAGGATCGCAAACGAGCTGTCTGAGGGCTATGGGATCTCTGTCTCCGTCCTCGACATCTACACCAACTCCACGCTGGGGGCACTGCTGGATTTTCTCGACGGCCAGGGCAAGTCTGCCCGCAGGAGGAGGAGGAGGAGGAGGAGAAGGATCTGATACACACTGCTTCTTGTGCTTTCGCGATTGTTCCCGCGATGTTTTTCGCAATCCACTGCCCCGTTGGTCTTCAGCTCAGGAGGGACCTCCTCACATCTGTTGTGGCTCCTTGTCATCATCGCGCCCCTTTCGCCCTTTGCTGACGCATTACCTGGATCACCCGTGCGCCTCTCCACGGGCGCAGGCGGTTCCCTTTCCATCCTGTCCCCTCCCTTCCTCCCTCGCTCCCTCCTCGTTCTCATCTCCATCATCATTACTTCATCATCATCAGCAGCATCAGCATGAGCATCCGCATCATCATCCTCAGCAGCATCCTTCTCGTGCTCCCTCCTCGCTCCCCTCCCTTCCTCCCTCCTCGTTCTCATGCTCCTCGTCGCCTGCGCTCCCGCTCCCGCTCCCGCTCCTCCTCGTCCTCCGCCTCCTCCGATTTCCCCTCCTCTCTCTGGAGGCCTCCCGAGGTCTTCGGAGGTCTCTGGGCGGTCCCCGCAGGTCCCTGGACACCTCTGGAGGCCCTGGCGGCACCTAGAGGCCCAAGAAGGGCTCAAAAATCGTCCGGCACCCTCCGTCCTTGAATATCGAAGCCTCTCTTCTTCCTCCTCTTCCTCCTCCTCCTCCTCTTTCTATTCTAGACGCTGCTTCGTTCGCGCCCCGTTCGTTGTTGACTCGCTTCTTGACCTTTGCCTTGGAGCCGCTGACCAAAAAAGTAACCCCACCAGCCCATCCAGAAACGATCGATGCCTAGACGAGTTGCCCGGATCAGGGATGTGGAGGAGACTGCAGTGGAATAAAGGGTTGGGTAAGATGTCTTACTCCAGTAGGGGGAGGAGGGAGGAGTAATTCGAGGAGGAGCCGGAGCAGGAACAGGAGCAGGAGGAGGAGGGCGATGAGGAGGAGGAGGAGGAGGAGGAGGAGGAGGAGGAGGAGGAGGAGGGGGACGGGGGAGGAAGGAGGAGGAAGGAGAAGGAGCAGGTGAATGATGGTGATGATGATGCTGATGATGATGCTGATGATGATGATGAGGATGATGGTGACGATGATGCTGATTTTAATGATAACGATGATGATGACGATGATGATGATGGTGACGATGATGATGATGATGATGATGATGATGATGATGATGATGATGATGATCATGATAATGCTGATGATGGCGACGACGATTATGATGATGATGAAGATGACGGTTCTGAGGAGGATGATAAAGGGTGATGTGGTGATGATTGTGTGGATGATGTTGATGATGCTGATGCTGATGATGCTGATGATGATGCTGATGACGACGACTATGATGATGATGATGATGATGATGATGATGATGATGATGATGATGAGGAGGAGCAGAAGGGTGATGGTACTGACGACGACTATGATGATGACGACGATGCTGATGGATCTGATGTTGATGCTGATACTGATTACGATTCTGATGATGCTGCTGCTGATGATGATGATTATGATGATGATTTTGTTGATGGTGATAATGATGATGCTGATGATGATTATGGTGATGCTGATGATGCTGCTGATGATGCTGATGATGCTGATGATGCTGATGATGCTATGATGATGCTGATGATGATGAGGATGATGATGCTGATGATGCGGATGAGGATGATGATGCTGATGATGACGATGGTGATGATGATGCTGATGATGATGGTGATGATGATGCTGATGATGATGACGATGATGGTGGTGATGGTGGTGGTGATGATGATGATGATGCTGATGTTGGTGTCGGCGATGATGATACTGCTGCTGATGATGTTGCTGTGTTTGATGCTGATGCTGATGATGATGCTCATGATGATGATGATGATGCTGATGATTTTGATGATGATGCTGATGATGCTGATGATTTTGATGATTTTGATGATGCTGATGATGATGATGATGATGATGATGATGATGATGATGATGATGGGGATGCTGGGGATGATGATGCTGATGATGCTGATGATGCTGCTGCTGATGATGATGATGATGATGATGATGATGATGATGATGATGATGATGATGATGATGGTGATGATGATCATGACGATAATGATTACCAGTGGCCAGAGCAGGAGCAGGAGCAGGAGCAGGAGGAGGAGGAGGAGGAGGAGGAGGAGGAGGAGGAGGGCGAGCAGATAGGGCAGAGTTCTCTTGGATGCCTCTCGGAGTAACAGCGGATTTTTGTTCGAGAGCTTCTTGGAGTCCTTCTGGGGTGTCTTGGGCGTCTCTTGGCAGTCCTGGGGGCCTCTTGAGGCGTCTTGGGTGCCTCTGGGGGTCCTTCTGGAACCTCTTGCTAGAAAGCCTCTTGGGGGCATCTTGGAGGCATGGTGGGAGCCTCTTTGGGCCTCATGAGCACCTCTTGGGGCCTTCTTGGTGCACCCCTGGGAGCTTCAGGGGCCATCTTGGGGCCATCATTGAAGAGATAGATCAAAGGAGGGGGACTCCTTTCTTAGGGTCCCCGCCCTAAGGTCAAACGTGGCCAAGACCGTTGTAACATTCATGATTCTGGGCTTTTCTCCGAGGCCTCTTGCGGCGTCTTGGGTGCCTCCGAGGGGGCCTCTTTGGGCATCTTGGGGAGCCTCTTGGGGCATCTTGGCCGCCTCTGGGGGGCCTTGGGGCCTCCTGGGCACCTCTTGGGGCCCTCTTGGGGCACCCTTGTGGGCTTCGGGGGCCATGTTGGGGACATCTTGGAGGATATCGATCAAAGCAGGGGGATTCTCAATTTGGGCTCCCTCCCCCAGAGGCCGTAGTGTGCCAAAACTTTAATAACGTCAGTGATCATGGACTTTTCTCCGAGGCTTTTTGTGGCGTGTCGTGTGCTTCTGGGGGGCCTCTTGGGGCTCCTTGGGGGTCTATTGGAAGCCTCTTGGGGCATCTTGGGCGACTCTTGGGGGCCTCTTGGGACCCCAAGGCTCCCAAGGGTTGGGGCCATCTTGTAGGAGATCGATCAAAGGAGGGGAGCTTGTCAATTTGCCCTCACTACAAGCTCTTAGTAACACCGATGATTTGGGTTTCCTCGCCGAGGCCGTTTTGGACGCTCTGCACCCTGCGAATCCCCCCTCCAGGTCCAGGGGTTGGGGGAAGGGGGAGGGGTAAACCCTTCCCCCGAAAGTGAAGGGGTAGGGGTATGGGGGTAGGGGGAGGGGTAGGGGTAGGTGGTCAAGTTAACCAGCTCGAATGAGCCAGAGGGCTCCGTCCACTCCCACCCGCCCTCCCACAACATAAGAAGCAAGTGCGTCGCGTCCGACGCCTGTCGCTCATCTTATATCGTGGGCGGCTAGACGTTCAGCGCGCGACATGAGCTGCGTCCTATTCCAGCCGCGTATTCAGCAACGTCGACGAGAAACATGACCGCGCGCGATGTACGCCGCGCCCCGCTCCGGCCTCTCATATTGCATCGTCGGCGACAACATGTCCAGCGCGCGAAATGCGCCGCGTCTCATTCCAGCCACGCGTGTTGCACTGCCAGTCGTTTCGCTCCTGCCGCGCATGGAGGAGGGGGAGGAGGAGGAGGAGGAGGAGGAGGAGGAGGAGGAGGAGGAGGGGAGGGAGGCAGGGAGGGAGGGAGAAACTGAGGAGGAAAATAATAATGCCTCTTGGGGATTCGCAGGGCGTCCCATTCCCGCTTCGCGACTCGCAGCGCCGACGAGGAGAAAATACATGGTGGCAACAAAAACGTCGACGTTGCGGTGTTGTTTTGCTCGTGGGACGGGGGGTCCCGCGTAGGGTTGGCCAGGCGTCCGCGCGCGATGTGCGCCGCGCCCCATTGCTGCTACATTTTTCGCAGCGTCGGCGACAAGAAAGTCCATGCTGTCGAGAAAAACGTTGATTTTTTTTTTTTTTTTTTTTTGATAGGTGGGACGCGACCACCCGCTTAGGGTTACCCAAGCGATGTTCATTCCGTCATCTTCCGGGTGCACTTTCCGCAGCTCGACGACATATTGGCGAGAAACAATTTGAGTTTGTATTGTTTTTGATAGTTCGGACGGCGGGGTTGTCATCGGCTGGCTAGGTGGGGGTTTGGGCGTGTTTAATCATAAGAAGTAAGGATCGGGGGAGTGGTAGGGGGAGGGGATGGAAGAAAACAAGATCTAAACCACTCGCGCCCGAAAGGGCTGATGGGATTCCTCCTCCTCCAGTCCTCCGCCTTCTCCTCCTCCTCCTCCGCCCTTCCCCTCCGCCTGCTTCTGCCCCTGCTAGTCCTCCTCGATCCTCGATGTTTCTTTTTGATATGTTGGTTGTCCACTGACAGAGAAACGCGTGTTTTTACCGCCTTGCGGGCCTCTGGAGAAAAGGCCTCGGGGGTCTTTCGGGGACCTCTGCAGACCTCAGACCTGATGCCTGCAGAGGCCGCCTCCCCTTCCGTTTTCTCCATGTTCCCGGTCTCGTCCTCGTTGCCTTCCTTGTCGTCGTCGTCGTCGTTGTTGTCGTCGTCGTCTCGTCGTCATCGTCGTCGTCCCCGTCCCCTTCCTCGTTCTCCCCTCCTCGTTCTCCCTCCCATCGTCCTTGTCATCGTGCTCCGCTCCATCGTTCCTCCTGCTCCTCCTCTTCCTCTCGTTATCGTTTCCCTCATATTCCAACTCCAGTTCTTTTCGCCTCCCTCCACCTTCCTGCTGTTGCTGCTACTTCGCTTCCTGAATCTCCAATCCTCATCCTCCTCACGCCCCTACTCATCTTCTTTGATCATGGTCGTCCGAATCCTCGTACTCCTGCTTCTTGGCTCGTCCTCCTCCTCCTCTCATTCTTCCTATTCCTACTGGTGCTGCTGCTCCTACTCCTCTCCGCATGCTGTTGTGCTGCCCCCGCCGCGCGCCAAATAATATCTTCGGAGGCCGGGTGAGCTCCTGTCTCTTCCCGCCGCTTCTTCGATTTTGCTTGCTCTGCTGCGCCATCCTCGTTCTCATCCGTGTCCTCGTTCTCCTCGTCCTTGTCCTTCTCTTCCTCGACTTCTTCCTCG